AGAAACATACTCTTTGAATTTTCATTCTACTAATTCTCTTGCATACAACTGAAAAACTGTAGGGGAATTTCGAAGCTTTATCAACTATTTACGGTTAATTTCAAATTAGGAACAAACTTCTTTACTATTAGTTAGCTACATATTGGTTTGGTTTTTGTTTGTTTGGTTGTTTGTTTTTTTTTTTACCATTAGTAGTACATTTGTCACCGTTTATCATAGAATCATAGGTTAAGATTTTCATAGTATTCAAGAGGCATTTTTATTAAATTGATTAATATCACGGTGAGCATGAGCGTGTGTGAATGTTCAGAAGAGTTTTGCTTGTATTATTGTGTTTTCATGTTACTATTGTTTGCGTTTGGATAGATCAGATGCATAGATCTACACTTTGGTCAACGCTTTTCTTGGATTATGGTGCATTAGCATCGTCACAGGTGCTAGTGGCGCAAAGCGTTTAACTTGGGGCTTGTTATAGTCGCTAGACACGGGGGAGCTGGCCCACACTTTTGGCTTGTAACTAAGCTTTCTATTTCTTTGGACCATATCGATAAGCAAAAGATTTATACGAGTACAGGCGGCAGTTAGTTTCTCAGTCCTATGTACATGTACACACAAAAATCTCTCGAGAAACAGATTGACGAGGCGTGAAACTTTAGATAGGAATATCAAGTCAATATATTTCGTCGGGTAAATCGGGTAAATTTTTGTGTTTCTTGTGAGGGGACAGACAATAAGACAGAGCTAGGCAAAAAGGTGAGAGCGTGTGTGAGAGACAGTAAGAGAGAGAGAGAGTGGTAGGTGGTGGTAGAGAGAAGAAGGCGGGAAACAAAGATACAATATTCGAGAGACAGAAAGGCACTCTCTTGCGGCATGGAGCCAAAGAGTGGTTGGTGAGAGAGAGTACGTTTGTGCTTTACCTTTTTGACATCCATATTTGGCATCGGCTATAAATCCAGGTGGGCAGAATTTACATATCGGCTTGTGATCCTCGACAATGCATGGCGAGTTGGGGGCGCATGTTGCAAACTTGCAAGGATCGACGCACTGCAGTTTACGGCAAGCAAGGCCAGCCGGACAGCCAGCGTCCCGCAGGCAAATGGATATCGAGGGCTGACAGTCCCGCATGCAGATGCACACGGGCTTGTGGTTTTGCACCTCGCAGGACTTGTTCTCGGCACAGACCGGTGCCCGGCCCAACGGCACAATACAGGGGTTCCGGCATTTGCCATCCGTGCAGGCCATATTCGAGGCGCAGTCATCATCGCGATAGCATTCCCGCTTATCCGGTGCACACGTCAGTTCTCCGTATTCGTTGACTATGAAGCCCGACTTGCAGATGCAAACGGGCTGGTGGCGTCGTGTCTCGCACTTCTTGTTGCTCTCGCAAATGAAGAGGGGATTGTTGCATGGATCTGTGCATTGGCCGTACTGGCCGCACTGCAATGTCTCCGGGCACTCGTTGTCACTGGAGCATGGTATCTGCTCCTTGGTCTTGGCGTCCATGTCATCGGTGAGATAATTGGGATCGGGCTTGCACTCTACTTCGGGCCGGCCGATGTGGCAACTTGGACAGGAGCAGCGCGGACGATGCAGAACAGTTTTGCACAGCGCATTCGAGCCGCACGCGCCACGCATTGTACAAGGATCGCTGCAGTGTCCTTGGAGGCAGGATTTTTCACTGGGACAATCCGTATCTGAGTAGCATTGTTCGGTGTCTATAACATAACATTCAGCAGGCGGGAAGAACGAGAGAGAGATAGACAGGAGTTGTTTTTTTTTTTGGTTGGTTTTAAATGTTAATCGTTGGTGGTTTCGTGGGTGCATTCGTCTATTCGGTGGCATAAACGCGGTACGCTACTAAATGTGAAGATATATCTAAATATATCTTCATTCCGAGGGAAACACATAGAAGTACGGAAGTGCGACATTGAAGGGTCGTTGAGTCAAAGGTTTTTTGGTAGACAGAGCCTGGTAGAAGATTCTGGGTTTGCTTTTTGCATAAAACAAAAGTGTTTGGGTGGATGGGTGCTGTAGGGTCTGGGGGTAAATCTTATATCTAAACGTTTCTAATAAACAAAAAGGGAGAAATCTTAAACGAGACAATATATAAACAGTATAATCAAGTTATATTTTTGTTGGTTTGTTTTGATTTGGACTTCTTTTTTGCTTGAGTGTTTTTTGTGTTTTATTGTGTGTGTTGTGGGTCGGTTTTTGTGGTTCGGTTTGTGGTGTTCGATTAAGTGTCAGTGGGATTGTTGTGGACTCAGTTTTGGGGGGTTGGGGGTTTTGTGCATGGGATTTTGTTAGAGTAAAGTAAAATTTTAGAGTGGGGGGTTGGGAATTTGTCAACGAACTGTGTTCAGAAACGGTGTGCAAAAAGAAATCACAAGGAAGCGAAAACTAAAGAAAGATAAATATTGGATTTCCTCATCCAAAATTTAGTGCAGCAAAAAAATTCTTTCAGATTTCATTTGGTTGTCTTATTCAAATTGTAGAACTGTGAAGGGAACATCTCACAATAACTCGGGTTTTATAATATGTAGTTTGTAGTATTTAGTATCGTATCTAAAAGCAAGCCAATTTCTGACTGCTTCTGGGTTTCGTCGAATGAATTTGATAGTTTTGGAGGCAGCGTACAAGAGAGCGAGTAGCAGGCGTAGTAGCAGTGAGAACATGTGAGCAATAGTTACAATCCTTGATGATTTACCATATTTTAACGAGCGAGCATATAGAGCAGGAGATATACCCAATTTGATGCTGATCAATGATATATATATCTGGAGATTAATGCGAATTCGAGCTAATACATATTGGTTTTTGTATGTTGTTGTTTTTTTGTTGTTTGGATTTTGTTCAGTAATGGCAAAAATTACACGACATCCAACACATGCGCTCTGCCCTCACGAGAGACACGTTATTGGCGATTGGTTTTGGTGAGTGAGTGATTGATTGATTGATTCAGATTCAGAGAAAGAGAGCGGAAGATTAGCTTTTTATAGGAATATAGGTAGGCTTTAGTAAGAGTACAGGAAATAGTAGTTGGAAAATCGATGGGTAAGAATAAATACAATTTGGAAAACGTACGTTAGAAATACTTGGAGACTAGTTTTCGAACTCTCAATCCTCGTTTGTTATTCATAATTCACAGTATTGTTTTGTTTAAATCTCGATTATATTTACAGATTGGATATTTTCGGGGTTGATTTTTTTTTTGGTTAGTTTTGGCCGCTTAGATGCGGCCTATAAACAATATGTACATATGTACAACTTTTTCTGTATATACAACTTAATCGCTAGTCAAATGTACCAAAAAACAATATTGAAAGGTTAGTCAAATTTAGTTACATTTTAAGTTCAATTCGGGCTGGGTTTTTATTTGTTGTTGTTTATTGTAAAAGAGTTTGCAACCAATAGAGTGTGTGGTAGGATAGGCAGCAGCAGGAGCTGTCTTAATATGTACTGTTGTAAGGAGTGTTGTGTATTTTGTACAAATAGTAGATCTTTTCGGTTATATGTTTTTTTGTTGACTGCTTTAGGGATGCATTGAAAATAGTAGAAGTTGTTGTTTTGTTTTTGTTGTAGTTGCTGTTATTGTTGATGTTGCTTTATGGTTTGCTATGGATTCTATACAATCATTGAATTGTAGTGGATCTTAAATTGATTTACTATTGTATGTTCCTCTCAATTGGTTTCAAATTTCAAGCATATGTTGTGTGAACTATGTGTGAGAATTGTCCCGTCCACAGTTCCCAATCTGAGACTTTATTTTCATTTGAGAAATCTACGAAAAGGGCTTTTCTTTTTAGCAAAAAATAGGGATACGACAGAGCTGTGGATAGGGCAGGGTACAATAGGTGGGCGGTGGACAGAGCGGATTCGGTAGGAAGGAAGGATAGGAATTTTTGGGATTATGGATTTCGATTATGATTTTATCAAGTATCAAGAATATGTTGAGGATTGTTGTCTATTATGTGTTGTATTTTTAATTTTTTTTTTTTTTTTAATTTTAGATTCATTTAGATTTGTTTTAGATTTAATACTGGGGCTACGTATCGCTATCGCGGCGTTTTTTTTGTTTTGTTTTGTTTTGTTAGGTAAGGAGGAGGATGAACCAACTTTTGGTCTACTGAATCTGTGCGAGAATATGGATGCCGCGGAGAGCTGATTTTCAAAATACAGAAATGGTTATTCAGAAGCCAATTTGTATGGTGACTAAACGAATTCCAATGAGAGTTGAGTTGAGCAGCTCTATGAAAGCCAGAATGAAAAATGAGAACGAACGCAAGCTTCAAGGTTTTTTTATGGGGGAAAGAGCTCTTCTTTGTTTGCTTTCTGATTAGTATGATTTTAAATTTACTTAAGGTCTAGACTTAAAAACTGCTTCATAGAGTAAGTGGTATTTTGTGTGTTTCAAAAATGAATTTAGGCACAGATTGGGTAACCGCGATAGCGACAGCAACAATCCACGAATTTCCATATGCTGTATTTATGTATGGTTGCATTGTATTCTATATTAAAGGATACTTAAAGAACTATAACTAACTCTTTGGTCTGGTGATGGCTATTCAAGGATCAGGTATCGGGAATTGTACGTTGTTGTGTGTAGGTGGTTGTGTTGTGTGGTTCTGTTTTGAGCGTGCTGGGGTTGGAATTATACGTATGCTTGGCTTTTCGCACATGTGTATAGGTTGTTAAGAAATAAATAAATACTCTAACAATTACGTATTAGACTTTGGCACACACACACTACACTGAACTCTTTGGTCAAATACGTATTTCTAGTAGTCTAGGCAGCCGGAGGAGGCTGTGTTTGAATTAGTGGAATTAGCTAATTAGCTTGGGGTGGTTTTTGTTTTTGTTTTGTGGTTTTAAAACTCGCATCTATGTATGGCTAATAAAAACCAATAAAATTATAACAACAAATTCAATTTCAATTGGTTACTAACAGACCTCCAGTTATTAGGTTTTGGTTGGTGAGAGAGAGTACGTTTGTGCTTTACCTTTTTGACATCCATATTTGGCATCGGCTATAAATCCAGGTGGGCAGAATTTACATATCGGCTTGTGATCCTCGACAATGCATGGCGAGTTGGGGGCGCATGTTGCAAACTTGCAAGGATCGACGCACTGCAGTTTACGGCAAGCAAGGCCAGCCGGACAGCCAGCGTCCCGCAGGCAAATGGATATCGAGGGCTGACAGTCCCGCATGCAGATGCACACGGGCTTGTGGTTTTGCACCTCGCAGGACTTGTTCTCGGCACAGACCGGTGCCCGGCCCAACGGCACAATACAGGGGTTCCGGCATTTGCCATCCGTGCAGGCCATATTCGAGGCGCAGTCATCATCGCGATAGCATTCCCGCTTATCCGGTGCACACGTCAGTTCTCCGTATTCGTTGACTATGAAGCCCGACTTGCAGATGCAAACGGGCTGGTGGCGTCGTGTCTCGCACTTCTTGTTGCTCTCGCAAATGAAGAGGGGATTGTTGCATGGATCTGTGCATTGGCCGTACTGGCCGCACTGCAATGTCTCCGGGCACTCGTTGTCACTGGAGCATGGTATCTGCTCCTTGGTCTTGGCGTCCATGTCATCGGTGAGATAATTGGGATCGGGCTTGCACTCTACTTCGGGCCGGCCGATGTGGCAACTTGGACAGGAGCAGCGCGGACGATGCAGAACAGTTTTGCACAGCGCATTCGAGCCGCACGCGCCACGCATTGTACAAGGATCGCTGCAGTGTCCTTGGAGGCAGGATTTTTCACTGGGACAATCCGTATCTGAGTAGCATTGTTCGGTGTCTATAACATAACATTCAGCAGGCGGGAAGAACGAGAGAGAGATAGACAGGAGTTGTTTTTTTTTTTGGTTGGTTTTAAATGTTAATCGTTGGTGGTTTCGTGGGTGCATTCGTCTATTCGGTGGCATAAACGCGGTACGCTACTAAATGTGAAGATATATCTAAATATATCTTCATTCCGAGGGAAACACATAGAAGTACGGAAGTGCGACATTGAAGGGTCGTTGAGTCAAAGGTTTTTTGGTAGACAGAGCCTGGTAGAAGATTCTGGGTTTGCTTTTTGCATAAAACAAAAGTGTTTGGGTGGATGGGTGCTGTAGGGTCTGGGGGTAAATCTTATATCTAAACGTTTCTAATAAACAAAAAGGGAGAAATCTTAAACGAGACAATATATAAACAGTATAATCAAGTTATATTTTTGTTGGTTTGTTTTGATTTGGACTTCTTTTTTGCTTGAGTGTTTTTTGTGTTTTATTGTGTGTGTTGTGGGTCGGTTTTTGTGGTTCGGTTTGTGGTGTTCGATTAAGTGTCAGTGGGATTGTTGTGGACTCAGTTTTGGGGGGTTGGGGGTTTTGTGCATGGGATTTTGTTAGAGTAAAGTAAAATTTTAGAGTGGGGGGTTGGGAATTTGTCAACGAACTGTGTTCAGAAACGGTGTGCAAAAAGAAATCACAAGGAAGCGAAAACTAAAGAAAGATAAATATTGGATTTCCTCATCCAAAATTTAGTGCAGCAAAAAAATTCTTTCAGATTTCATTTGGTTGTCTTATTCAAATTGTAGAACTGTGAAGGGAACATCTCACAATAACTCGGGTTTTATAATATGTAGTTTGTAGTATTTAGTATCGTATCTAAAAGCAAGCCAATTTCTGACTGCTTCTGGGTTTCGTCGAATGAATTTGATAGTTTTGGAGGCAGCGTACAAGAGAGCGAGTAGCAGGCGTAGTAGCAGTGAGAACATGTGAGCAATAGTTACAATCCTTGATGATTTACCATATTTTAACGAGCGAGCATATAGAGCAGGAGATATACCCAATTTGATGCTGATCAATGATATATATATCTGGAGATTAATGCGAATTCGAGCTAATACATATTGGTTTTTGTATGTTGTTGTTTTTTTGTTGTTTGGATTTTGTTCAGTAATGGCAAAAATTACACGACATCCAACACATGCGCTCTGCCCTCACGAGAGACACGTTATTGGCGATTGGTTTTGGTGAGTGAGTGATTGATTGATTGATTCAGATTCAGAGAAAGAGAGCGGAAGATTAGCTTTTTATAGGAATATAGGTAGGCTTTAGTAAGAGTACAGGAAATAGTAGTTGGAAAATCGATGGGTAAGAATAAATACAATTTGGAAAACGTACGTTAGAAATACTTGGAGACTAGTTTTCGAACTCTCAATCCTCGTTTGTTATTCATAATTCACAGTATTGTTTTGTTTAAATCTCGATTATATTTACAGATTGGATATTTTCGGGGTTGATTTTTTTTTTTGGTTAGTTTTGGCCGCTTAGATGCGGCCTATAAACAATATGTACATATGTACAACTTTTTCTGTATATACAACTTAATCGCTAGTCAAATGTACCAAAAAACAATATTGAAAGGTTAGTCAAATTTAGTTACATTTTAAGTTCAATTCGGGCTGGGTTTTTATTTGTTGTTGTTTATTGTAAAAGAGTTTGCAACCAATAGAGTGTGTGGTAGGATAGGCAGCAGCAGGAGCTGTCTTAATATGTACTGTTGTAAGGAGTGTTGTGTATTTTGTACAAATAGTAGATCTTTTCGGTTATATGTTTTTTTGTTGACTGCTTTAGGGATGCATTGAAAATAGTAGAAGTTGTTGTTTTGTTTTTGTTGTAGTTGCTGTTATTGTTGATGTTGCTTTATGGTTTGCTATGGATTCTATACAATCATTGAATTGTAGTGGATCTTAAATTGATTTACTATTGTATGTTCCTCTCAATTGGTTTCAAATTTCAAGCATATGTTGTGTGAACTATGTGTGAGAATTGTCCCGTCCACAGTTCCCAATCTGAGACTTTATTTTCATTTGAGAAATCTACGAAAAGGGCTTTTCTTTTTAGCAAAAAATAGGGATACGACAGAGCTGTGGATAGGGCAGGGTACAATAGGTGGGCGGTGGACAGAGCGGATTCGGTAGGAAGGAAGGATAGGAATTTTTGGGATTATGGATTTCGATTATGATTTTATCAAGTATCAAGAATATGTTGAGGATTGTTGTCTATTATGTGTTGTATTTTTAATTTTTTTTTTTTTTTTAATTTTAGATTCATTTAGATTTGTTTTAGATTTAATACTGGGGCTACGTATCGCTATCGCGGCGTTTTTTTTGTTTTGTTTTGTTTTGTTAGGTAAGGAGGAGGATGAACCAACTTTTGGTCTACTGAATCTGTGCGAGAATATGGATGCCGCGGAGAGCTGATTTTCAAAATACAGAAATGGTTATTCAGAAGCCAATTTGTATGGTGACTAAACGAATTCCAATGAGAGTTGAGTTGAGCAGCTCTATGAAAGCCAGAATGAAAAATGAGAACGAACGCAAGCTTCAAGGTTTTTTTATGGGGGAAAGAGCTCTTCTTTGTTTGCTTTCTGATTAGTATGATTTTAAATTTACTTAAGGTCTAGACTTAAAAACTGCTTCATAGAGTAAGTGGTATTTTGTGTGTTTCAAAAATGAATTTAGGCACAGATTGGGTAACCGCGATAGCGACAGCAACAATCCACGAATTTCCATATGCTGTATTTATGTATGGTTGCATTGTATTCTATATTAAAGGATACTTAAAGAACTATAACTAACTCTTTGGTCTGGTGATGGCTATTCAAGGATCAGGTATCGGGAATTGTACGTTGTTGTGTGTAGGTGGTTGTGTTGTGTGGTTCTGTTTTGAGCGTGCTGGGGTTGGAATTATACGTATGCTTGGCTTTTCGCACATGTGTATAGGTTGTTAAGAAATAAATAAATACTCTAACAATTACGTATTAGACTTTGGCACACACACACTACACTGAACTCTTTGGTCAAATACGTATTTCTAGTAGTCTAGGCAGCCGGAGGAGGCTGTGTTTGAATTAGTGGAATTAGCTAATTAGCTTGGGGTGGTTTTTGTTTTTGTTTTGTGGTTTTAAAACTCGCATCTATGTATGGCTAATAAAAACCAATAAAATTATAACAACAAATTCAATTTCAATTGGTTACTAACAGACCTCCAGTTATTAGGTTTTGGTTGGTAAAAAAAGGCAACGGAACGCTGGTTAACATGATTAGGCACTATTCTGTACTCTAAGGGCTAAAAACACACGAGACTTGTATAAATGGAGGGCCACTTACCCTGCTGGCACACATATTCATAGCCATGGCGCACACAGTCGCCCACATCGCAGCCGAGAGTTCGGCAGTCCTGTTGCGGTGGAGTCAAATAACCTACCGCGAAGGATAAAGATGATTAGCTTTGGTTTTTGAAAGAGTCTTAAGATATGGTTTACATTGCACATAGGCATCTCCGTTGGGGAAGTCCTCCGGGCAGTAGCACTCGGCTTGGTCGTTGTCCAGCACATGGCAGGCCGCATTCAATCCACATGGATGATCATGACAGGCATTCACCAGAGGTCCCTCGCAGAGGCACCCCTTGTTGGCATCCCCGATGCAGCCATCCATGCAGGCACACTCGTAGCCGCCGGGCACTTCGGTACACTTGGAGTTGACGCCACACGGGCTGTTGGAGCAGCCACCGTCCAGGGGCTGGCACTCGCTGGCAGGATTTCCAAAGAAGTCGGGTGGGCAGGAACATTGGGCCTGGCGGTTAACTACACGGCATTGGGCATTGGTGCCGCAGGCACCGTACTCCAGGCAGGGATTGCGGCACTTGCCGCCATCGCATCGCTTGCTGCTGTCGCAGTCAGAGTCCTGACGACACTCGAACTGCACGCACTCCTTACTGGGTTCTCCCTCATAGCCGTCGGGGCAGTAGCAGAGCATACGATGCTCGGACACGGTGCACAGGGCATTGCGTCCGCAGGCCTTGTCGTCGGCACATGGGTCTGTACACTTGCCGCGCACACAGCTCTGGTCGGCGGCACAGTCACTGTTGGACTTGCAGCCGGCAATGCAGGCGCCTCTCTCGCACAACTGTCCCACGGTGCATTGTCGCTTGGGTCCGCACTTGTTGCGACACTTTCCGCGCGCGCACTGTTGTCCGCAGGCGCAGTCCTCCGTTCGGGAGCATTTTGTGGCGCAGTAGGCCCCGTTCTCGTCGCATTCACAGCCGGGATGGCAGCGCTCCGCTGGCAGTTGGCAGCCAGTGAGGCCGTCTCCAATGAAAGAGGCCGGACACTGGCACTGGACGCCATGATTCACCACCAGACAGTCGGCACACTGGCCACACTGGCCGGGGCTGCGACAGGGATTCTGGCACTTCTTGTTCACGCAGGCCTCGTCGGTCGCACAGCTAAGGTCGTTGCGGCAACCGGTCTGACAGACACGATTCTCGCAGATCTGGCCCTGGGCACAGACCTCATCCGTGTTGCAGACTGTGCGGCAGGTTCCACGCATGCAGCGCTCGTCCGAGAGACAGTTCTGGTCGTTGCGACACTTGCCCTGACAGCTTCCGGCGTAGCACAATTGGTTGTTCTGGCAGTCCTCGTTGCGTCCGCAGGCGATTCGCGGAACCTTGCAGGCCACGTTGGCCATGCCGCTAAGTCCCTCCGGGCAAGTGCACTGTTTGCGATGGTCAATCGTCTGGCAGAGGGCATTCGTTCCACAGGCCGTGGGGTCTGCACAGGGATCCACGCACTGTTGGGCAGAGCAGGAAAGCTCGGGCGGACAACCCTGGTCGGACCGGCAGCCGGGCACGCAGTTAAGACCCAGACACAGTTCGCCGTGGGCGCATTCGTTGTCGTGGCGACAGAGTGGCTTGCAGACGCCCTGCTGGCAACGCTCGTTGGTCAGGCAGCCGGCGTCGTCGGCGCACAAGGGGCGGCACACAGACTCGAAGCATGCCAGCCCGTTGCCACAGTCGCGATTCTCGCGGCACTCGAGCGGGGGGGCACGCACGCAGCCCACCTGGGGCGTGGGATTGGGTACCATGCTCTCCAGACAGCTGCAGGTGGCCCGGTGATTGGAAACCGAACAGGCGGCATTTGGGCCGCAGGGACTCTCCACACAGGGATTCACACACTTATCGTTGCGGCAGGACTCGGAGGCACTGCAGTCATCATCCACATGGCAGCCGTAGACGCACTTGTTGTGCAGGCAGACGTGCCCCAAGAAGCAATCGTTATCCACGCGGCAGGTCACTAAAATAAGATCAGATTTAGGTATGAAAATCATGTGAGATGGAAGGGAAGGAAGGGAACCTACGCATGCAATTTCCCCGCAAGCATTTCTCGTTGGAGGCACACTCCAGATCGTTGTGGCACACAGGAAGGCACATGGAGTCGCGGCAGGTGTAGCCAGGCGAGCAGTCACCATCGCAGGCAACTGGCACCCGGACACATTCCTTCGACGAGTCTCCGGTGAAACCCTCCGGGCAGTGGCACTGTTTAAGGTGGTTCAACATCACGCACTCGGCGTTCTGGCCGCAGGCCTGGGGCTGGACACAGGGATTGAAGCATTGGCCGCCCTGGCACACCTCCGACGGCCCACACTCGGTGTCCAGCACGCAGGCAGCTATATTTATAGGGAAAATCAGAGAGAGAGAGAATTAATTGACTTGAATTCTATAGGAGGTTAAGTTCCCGTCTCTTGCAACGTTCGTGTTCGGCGTGTGTTGTCGTTTGTGTGTAATTTGTAGTTAAGTTTGCATCTAGTCTAAGAGTTAGAGTTAGCGTTTGGTTTAATGCGTGGGCATCGAGGCCAGTCCAAGGTTTTGAAGTAAGTATCTAGTAGTTATGGTAGTTTCTTGAGATGTTGTGACACACTTGAGGGTTTGCAAAGGAATCTAAATCGTATATTTATCAGTTATTGTGGAATACTTGATGCGTTTGTAAAGTTAATTTGTGAATGCTTTCCCTCTTTGATATAATTTCCAACAAAGAATCAATTATTTTCCTTATCATACTTATTAGCTATTAAATCGATAATTCATAGTCATTGGCGTACCCTAAAGTAATGCTCTAATATTGTTTGTTAATTACGCAGCCCACTGTACAGTTGCTTTGTGATGTACCTCACAGCTTTCGTTCGTTTTCTGCTATCACTTTCGGGTGATCGCAGTAAAAATTTCCCCTAAGTGAACAGCTACATTCGTTTTGAAGAATTCGCTTTGAAAGAATCTGTTATTTTTACGATGAAACGCTAAATAGGTATGGTTTTTATGGTACTAGTTATTTAGAAAAAGAAGTAATAAAAATAATACCCCCATTGAATGCCACAACATCTCTGGTATAGATTTCTGTGCTAGTTTTTGGTAAGTAAGTGAGTAAGTAGGTACTAATAAGAAGATAGGTAAATAGACTTTACTCGTTCGGGTACACCTGCATTCGAATGCAATTGTTTGTAGTAGAGTTTTGCAGTCGGAAGGTGGTAGAGTCGGTGGTGGGGTTTTTGCAGGCAAGGGTGCGTGGGGAGTACTTACGTTTGCAGACGCTATCCGAGCAGTAGGTGTTTGTGGGACAGTCGCCGGTGACCTGACAGGGAACGGGCAATGGCTTACAGCCGGCCACCCGGTCAGCGGGTTGGCCGTCGTAGCCCATGCGGCATGCACAGTGAGCGATGGGGCCACATTGCAGTTGTGCGCAGAGATCGTGACACTTGGCCACGCCGTTAGTTTTGGTGCATGCAGCATGCGGGGGACAGTCCTCGTTGGTCTCGCACTCCACGGAGCTGCGACAGCCCTCATTATACGGGTCAACAACGAGGCCGGGGGGACAGCTACACTTATAGGAGCCGCGCGAGTTCCGGCAACGGGCACCGGGTCCGCACCGAGCATCGCGACAAAAGTCAATGACATCGCAGCGTACGCGGGGATCGCCACTGAAGCCGGGCTGGCAGTGGCACACCTGCTGATGGTGTTCCGTGGTGCAGAGAGCGTTGTCCCCGCAGGGCTGGCCTATCAGGCAGGCGATCTTGCACATATTATTGTCGCAGCTCTTGTCGTTCGAACAGTCCTCGTCGCTGCTGCACTCGATCTTGCGGCAGCCCGACTTGGCATCCCCAAAGAACCCATCCTTGCAAATACAGTCCGGAGAGTGGGAGCGAGCCACACACTCGGCATTGCGGCCACAGGCGGCACGACCGAGGCACACGGGCTCACAGCGGGCACGTCCGTAGGCATCCATCTGGCAGGTCTCGTCCTCGCCACAGTCCGTATTGGCGCCGCACTCCAGCTCCTTAGTGCAGATGTTGTTCGAGCAGAACTGGAACTGGGGACAGGTCGTGTTGGATTTACAGGTGCCCTGGCAGACGCCTTGAAGGCACAACTGCTCCGAGATGCAATCCCTGTTGGTGCTGCAGAGAGGGCTGCAAATTCCATGCGAGCAAATGCTTCCCTGTGCGCACTGCGCATCCTGCTGGCAGTATTGCAGTGGCACACATCCCTGTTTGGCATCTCCGGTGCTGCCCGACTCGCAGGCACAGACTCCGATGTGATTCTGGACCGAACAGAGAGCCTGGGCTCCGCAGGCATTGGGCAGAGAGCAAGGATCAATACATTTGGCATCCAGGCAGGCCTTGTCCCCGCCACAGTCATCGTTGTCCGAGCACTCGCTGTGTACGCACTCGACGAGAGGATCTCCGCGGGAATTCGCGGAGCAGGTGCACACGGCCTGGTGGCTTTGAGCCTGACAGTTGGCATTGATGCCGCACGCATTCTGCCGTTCGCAGGGACTGCGGCATCGGGAATTCTGGCAACTGGCGGTTGCGGGGCAGTCGACATCGCTGAGGCATTCGCTGGGATCCCGGCATCCGGCCTGCTGGGATCTCCGATGAGTCCCTCGGGGCACTGGCAGTTGTAGCTTCCAGGCAGATTGTTGCAGAAGGCCGTGCTGTGGCAGGGCTGCGACAGACACTCGTTGATATCTTCGCACACTCATCCGCTGACCAGTTGGTATCCCTCGTAGCAGGCGCATACCGCCTTGTGGTCGGACACCTCGCAGTTTCCTTTGCCGCAGCCGGTTAGGTCGCAGGGTTTGATGCAGCGATTCGTCTCCGCATCGCAGGCACGATCGCTGGCACAGTCCACATGATCGATGCACTCGACCTTGAAGCAGCCGACTCCTGTATCATTTGGATCACCTAGATATCCAGCAGGACAGCTACACTGAGCCTCGTGTCCTTCCGACTGGCAATGGGCAATGGCTCCGCACACGGTCTGCAGGCACGGATCCGTGCACTTGCCCTGTATGCAGGCCAAATTGTTGGCACAATCGTCCGGCTGGTGGCATTGCCGCCCTTGGGAACAGCCCTGCTTGGTGTATCCATCGCCGACGGTACCCTCGGGACCCACACAGCGATAAGAACCGGGCACATTCTCGCACCGGGCACTGGCATGGCACGGCTGCTCCGTACACTCGTCGATGTCGGAGCAGCCAAAGGGCGTGCCAATAAATCCGCTGGCGCACTTGCACTTTCCAGTGAGGCAGAGCTCTGTGGGCGGGCAGTCCGCGTCGGAGTCGCATCCTGGCTGGCAGGTGCGATCCGCATTACAGATCTCCCCGGCCAGACAGTTGTTGCTGGTGTAGCAGACCTTGCGGCACACCTGCTGATAGCAGCGCTCTCCAATCGCGCAGGAGGAGGTCTTGGTGCAGGGGAGATTGCACTGGTTGCCGATACACATGTGTCCGTTGGGGCACTGATTGCTGGCCAGGCAGGGAGCGGGCACTCGCACGCAGCCCTGTTCGGGCGTGGGATTGCCCTCGAATCCCTCCGGACAGCTGCACTGACTCCGGTGCTGGGCAATGTTGCAGAGGGCATTGGGGCCGCAACTGTTGCCGGACTGGCACGGATTCAGACACTTGTTCTCGATGCAGGACTGGTCCTGCTTGCACTCCTTGTTGCTGCGGCAGCCGATGGTGCAGTGACCCTCCACTCAGGCCAGGCCACTGGCGCACTGGCTGTGGTCCAGGCAGGCCACCACACAGACGTTGTTCAGACAGCTCTCGCCGTCGGAGCAGTCCTGCGAGTTCCGGCACGCGATGCGGCACTGGCCGTTGAAGCACAGCTCTCCGCCGCAGTCCACGTCGGTCAGGCACTTGGAGGCGCTGCGGGCGCATCCGTCCTTGGCCGAATCGGAGATGGGTTGGAAACGCAGCGGACAACTGCAGACGGGCTTCCGGTTCACGACCTTGCACTCGGCATTCGATCCGCAGGCGTTGTCGCACGGATTCTGACAGCGTCCGCCCGCGCAGATGGTGTTGGCCGGACAGTCGGCATCCCCATTGGGGCACTGGCCGTCCGGACGGCAGCCCGCGCTCTTGGGTTCGCCCACGAAGTGAGGCGGACACTTGCACACGGGTCCCTCGGGTGCGACCTCACAAATGGCCGATGCATGACAGGTTCCTGCGGCACAGCCGCTCTGTTTGGTGCAAGCCACCTCGGGCAGTGGGTCGCCACGGAATCCGGGAGGGCACTGGCACACGGCGCGATGATCCTCGGCCAAGCAGATGGCATTCTCGCCACACGACTCCTCGTCGCAGACATCGAAGCAGGTGTGGGTCATTCGGTTGCACATTTGGGTGGTGAAACAGTCGTGATTGTAGACACACGGCACGCTCTGGCAGCCATTGAACGGATCGTACGGATCGCCGGCGAATGGTCCGGGCGGACACTGGCACTGGGCCTGATGGTTGTTCGTGATGCAGACGGCACGGGGGCCGCACTTGACCGACTCGCAGGCTGGGCGACAGCTCAGCGTTTGGGTGGTCTCGTCCTTGATGCAGGCCTCCGACTCCTGGCACTCGGCATGGCTGCGGCACTGATGCTTCTGCGCCGGCTGGCAGCCATTCCGATCGTTGGGATTTCCCACAAAACCGTTCAGGCAGTCGCAGCGTCCCTGGTGCTGCCGGGCCACGCAAATGGCATTGGCCGGACAGGTGAAGGAATCGCAGATGGCCACGCACTTGAGCACGCCCAGGACGTCCGGGCGACAGGCGGAGGCATCCGGACAGTTGGCATCGCTGGTGCAGTCGGGCAGCGAGGGTTTCTCGCACGAGGAGACCACCGGGTTCCACACGAAGCTCTCGGCACAATTGCAGTTGGCATGTCCCGCGGGATTGATCTTGCACAGCTCGTTCGGTCCGCAGACCACATTCGAGCATAGATTAATGCAATCCCGAGTGCCATGGGCCGATGAAGTCTGGCAGCCGAAGCCGCGCTCGCAGTCCTTGTCCGTTTTGCATTTGTCCTCCATTTCGGGTATCGTCCGTTCCGGCTGGCAGCCCACTTGCAGATTGCTCGGATTGCCGAAGAAACCGTCGGAGCAGATGCACGACGAGCGATGATCTTCGCCCACGCAGAGGGCATTGGGACCGCACTGGATCTTCGAGCAGGCATCCACGCACTTGCGCAGACCCCTGCCCAGCTGGAAGCAGATCTCCGTGTGACGGCAGTCGGCATCGTTGCCACACTGGCCGCGCACGCTGCATCCCTCGCTGAGATCATGCGGATCTCCGATGTAGCCCATGGGGCAGTGGCATTTCCCAGCATCGCAGATGGCACGCGGTCCACAGTCCGCCTTGGAGCAGAGGTTCTTGCACTGTCCGTTCTGGCAACTGTAGCCATCGGGGCACTCCACGCGCTCGTTGCACTGGCACTTGTTTGCATCCTGGCAGAACCGGCTCTCGATGGGTTGGCAGCTGCTGTAGGGATTTCCGGCGTGTCCGGACAGGCAGAGGCACTCGAAGCCACCGGCAGTGTTGAGGCAGGCGGCATTTAGGCCGCACGGTTTGTTGGTGCACTCGTCCACGTCCTGGCAGCCCACATGGGGATTGCCGCTGAAGCCCTGCGGACAGAGGCACGTGATGTGGTTTCCCACAGCGCGACATTCCGCGTTCGGACCACAGCTATTCGGCTGGCAGACATTCTTGCTCTGGGCGCCACAGCCCTCGTAGGGATTGCCATATGTTCCCGGATTGCAGGCACATCGGCTCTGTCCCAATCCGTACTCGCAATGGGCATTGTCCCCGCAGCCTGGCGAGCACTTGGCCATCTCGATGGGCGGCATGCAGAGGAGATCAGGATTGCCGACAAAGTTCGGTTCACAGACGCACTTTCCGTTGTTCTTGTCGCAGGTGGCTCCAATGCCGCAGACGACCCCATCGCAGCGCTCCTTGCAGCGTCCGTTGATGCAGATCTGACGCTCGTCGCAAGGCCGCGTGGCCGTACACTGATCCGTGCTGCAGCTGCCGCCGGGGAAGGGATTCCCCAGCTGTCCCTGCGGGCACTTGCAGGTGGGTCCGTCGCTGGTGGGTATGCACAAGGCTCCCTCGCCGCAGATCACGTCCTGGCACTGGGAGACGCACTCGCCATCGGCATTCTTGACGAAACCCACGCGACAGCGACACCATCCCGCATGCTGTTCGGTCTCGCAGTAGGCGTTCGATCCGCACAGGAGACTGGCACAGGGACTCAGGCAACTGCCGTCGAGGCAGGCCAGATTACTCGCGCAATCCTCGTTGCTGAGGCACTTGCTCTTGGGCGTTCCGTTCTCAAAGATGCAGCCGCTCTTGTACGGGTCTCCGGTAAATCCCTTGGGGCACACGCACTGGTATCCTCCCTTCTTGTTCACGCAGTAGGCACCGTAGGCGCATGGCAAATGCGCGCACTCATCCTCGTCTGTGCAGCCGAGCAGGGGATCGCCCTTGAAGCCCGCCTCGCACATGCATTGCGGGGGATCCGAGGGCGTGCACTTGGCATTGATGCCACAGGGGAATCGCTCGCAGGGGCTCTTGCACTTGTTGTTGTCCTGAGGATCGAGGAAGTACGGCGGTGGGCAGACACACTCTCCCGGCTGGATGCACTTCTCGTTGCTGGCACACTCCTTGTCTGCGGCGCACTTCCTTTGGGCCGGAGCATAAAGTCCGTTGTAGGCATCCCCCAGGTAGCCCTCGGGACAGTGGCAGGTGTAGCCCCCGGCCTGATTCACGCACTGAGCTCCAAAGGCGCAGAGCTGGGTGCCGCGCTCCTCGCACTCGTTGACATCCGCACAGGTGCCGTCCGGCTGCGTCTGGTAACCCTTGGGGCAGGCGCAGTAACTCACGCCACCGGCAATGGAGATGCATTCCGCACCGCTGGGGCAGGCCTGGCCGCCACTGGAGCAGCCCGCGAGGACGCAGCTGTTGCCCAGAAGCTTGTACGGCGCCTGGCACTGGCACTCTGCGGTGCTGCAGATCTCACACATGATGAAGGGGTTGCCGGTGTGGCCCTGCGGGCAGCGGCACTCGTAGCTTCCGGGCAGGTTCTTGCCCTGGCGGCAGATGCACACGCTTTTTCCTGTGTACGAATCCTGCACGCAGCTCTCGCCAGCCGCACAGGGATTCGCGTCGGAACAGCCTGCACTCTTGGATGTGGCACATCCCTCGCGGTAAGCATCGCCCGATGATCCGCCCGGGCACTGGCAAAGATATCCACCCGCTGTGTTGGTGCAAATGGCCTTCTCCGCACAAGGATTGGCCCGGCACTCGTCAATGTCGTTGCAGCCGCCGGGAAGAGCGGCATTTCCAGTGTAGCCGGGTGCACAGAGGCACTGCGCCTGACCATTGGCCAGCATGCACTGGGCATGGGCTCCGCAGTCCTGCGTTTCGCACGGATGCCGGCAATCGTTGCCTATATTCGGCTCCGGGCACAGACAACGCTTCGTTTCGTCACAGATGGCATTTCCGGGACAGTTCTCGCTGGTCGTGCAGCTCACGATGGGTACGCAGCGCACACTGGGATCGGGATCGGCAATGGTGTGTTCGGGACAGCGACAGGTGTATCCACCGCCGGGCATGTTCACGCACTCGGCGCCCGATCCGCATTTACTGCCAGTCCGGCACTCGTCCACATCCACGCACTTGCTGTGCGGATCTCCAGAGAAGCCTGGAGGACAGGCGCACGAGTAACCACCGGCGGTGTTGGAGCATGTGGCGTTCTGGCCACAGCTGCCAAAGGGTCCATGCAGCAGATCGCACTCGTCAATGTCCACACAACCGGCGGCTACATCACTGGGATTGTAGGTCCATCCCTCCTCGCAGACGCAGTAGGCCTCGTTCTGGTCCGGTTTGCAGTAGGCATGCGGCCCACAGCGGACATCCTCGCAGGGCTGCTTGCAGGCCATCCTCGGGGGACTGCCCACCGGCCTCACAGTCGCAACGATACGAGCCGGGAGTGTTCAGGCACTGGGCATGCTGGCCGCAGACCTCTGCATGGGTGCGACACTCATCGATGTCCACACAACTGGCGCCAATGGGCTCGAATCCGTCAAGGCAGAAGCACTGGTTCTCAATGCACTCGGCGTTGTTGGTGCAATCGAAATTACTGCGGCAGAGGATGTTCACATCCACCTGTTCGCAGGCCACCTTTGGATCGGGCTTGCCGTCGTAGCCCTGCGGACACTTGCAGTTGTACCCGGGAACCGTGTTTTCGCACTGGGCGTGCTGGCCGCAGGGTTTGTCCAGGGCGGCACACTCGTCAATGTCCACGCAGCCGCGGAAGGGATCGCCGGTGTAGTCCGGCTTGCAGGTGCACACAAAGCTTCCGATCGTGTCCGTGCAGATGGCATTCTCGCCGCACGGGTTGTCCTGACACTCGTTGATGTCTGGATCGGTCGAGGGGCAGGGTGTTTGGGGCAAACGCGTGGTTCATTGGCGGGTTGTGGTGGTGGTGGTGGTGGTTGGGGGATTGGGTTAAATATATTTATAAATTAATTAAATTAGTATTCAACGAGGGGGAACGTTGTGAGTTGCTGCGGACACCGCAACTCTACAGTTATACCCGATACTAAGTCAGTATAGCTCTATTCCGGCAGACGGCGCTAATATTAAACGAAACGACAAAGAGTGTGTGCGAGAGAGACAGAAAATCAGTCTGAGCGTGACGTCTGATCAAAATTCAGCAATCTGATAGATATGATTATTATCTATGATTCTGCGTTTTTAGTTTTCTTGTATCCTCAATATTATGGATGCCACAGTTTTTCGTCCTTTGTGGAGGCGGAAGGGGGTGGGGCGAAATTCTGAGATATACGTTTTATAGTGAGATCTAGCAGAAGTGCGGATACCAAATTTTGTTATTCTAGCCTTAATAGTCTCTGAGATTTGTGAATATCCCCAGATTTGCATCCTTTGCGGGGGCGGAAGGGGGTGCGGCGAAATTTTGACACAAAACGGTCAAGGTCCGATATCACAGGAGTGTGGATACCAAATTTGGTTGCACTAGCTTTTATGGGTTCTGAGATCCTTGAACTCATATTTTGCAATTGGCAAAACCGACCATGAAACCTGTGTGTTAGAGTGAGACAGAGAGAGAAGAATTGTTTTCGTGATTCTGGCTATAATAATTATACAATCTGGTTCAGATTTTGCACTCTAGAAGATATAGTCATCTTCTACGATTCTGCGTTTTTTGTTTTCTTGTATCTTTCAAATTGTGGATGCCACAGTTTTTCGCCCTTTGTGGGGGCGGAAGTCGGCGGTGCAAAGTTTTGAAATATTTTTGTAGCAGTGACATATCACAGAAGTCTGGATCCAAAACATCGTTGCTCTAGCTCTTATAGTCTGTGAGCATTAGGCGCTGAAGGGGACGGACAGACGGACAGACGGACGGACGGACAGACGGACAGACGGACGGACGGACAGACGGACAGACAGACATGGCTCAATCGACTCGGCTATTGATGCTGATCAAGAATATATATACTTTATGGGGTCGGAAACGATTCCTTCTGGACGTTACACACATCCATTTTCACCACAAATCTAATATACCCCAATACTCATTTTGAGTATCGGGTATAAAAACAATACAAAATTGGATGATAGACAGGCGATGGAGCATATAGCGTGAAGTGGGGGAGCGGGAGGAGATACTGGATACAGATATTGTAGATAGAGGGATAGAGGTGGGAGGGAGGACTACAGTGGGTGTCGAGGAGGAAGCTGTCTGAAAAGCATGCAACTGCTAGAAAAGCATAAAAGCTAAGGCTTGAAGCTTGCTAAAAAAAATAGGCAGCTTTAAAGGCATTTAGCGGGTGGGAGGGATTGGGAATTTTAGGAGGAAGCGCCCCCCACAAGGTCTGCAAGTCCATGCGGGTGTTTTATCCCCTCGGATCTTGCAAGCCTCGTGGAGTTACAAAAATATTCAGGCTCTTTTTTCAGTATTTTGCAATTTAAATACTAAATATAATACTGAAAATTCCGTAATATCTAAGAATATACTTGGTATTTTCACTGGAATATATTTCAAATATCGCTTAAACGATTGAAACTACTATAAAAGGTGTAATACAAATCTGAAAATACCAAGTATTTCCATCGGAATATACTATAATACGGAAAATAGAGCCTGGGGACGAAGCATGTCTAAAGCAGGCAATAAATACTAACTCTCGCAATGCAAATAGCCCTGTCCTTGGAATCCACTCGGGCACAGACATCGATACGAGCCCGGAAAGTTAATGCATTTGGCGTTGGTGCCGCACTTGGCCATGCCATCCGGCTGGTTGCACTCATCGATGTCCAGGCAGGCCAAGCCCGCGCCCGATGTGGCAGGAGCCACCGCCGTATGGATATCGGCTTCCCCCTGGCCATAGCCCAGTGGCAGGATGGCGAGAGGTGGCTCTGCGTTCTGATCGTGCTCGAGGACGAAGCCGAGGGGACAACGACACTGATAGCTACCGCCCATGTTCACGCATTCAGCACCCGAACCGCATGGATTGTTAGTGGCGCATTCATCAACATCTGGTATTATGTTTTGTTTCGGTATTAATGTAGCATTTTGCGGTGCATTAATGTTGGTATGTTGTGTGTGTGATGTGTGCGTGTTGGTATTTTGTTTTGGTATTTTGTAGGTGCCGCCAATTCAAAAACAAACAAAAGTGCAAAAAATACAACCAAAATGGTAAATGTCAAATGTCAAATGATGATTAAACTTCTAGGCTATCTGTTGCACTCACCCTCGCAGCCGTGCATGGGATCCCCGCTGTAGCCGTCGGGGCAGAGGCAGCGGAAGCTGCCGTCGTTATTCAAACAGTTGGCATTGCGGCCGCAGGGAGATCGAGCACACTCGTCCTGGTCCACGCATCCTTGGTCGGCGCGTCCATCGCCGTCGTATCCCGGCGGGCAGTCGCAGCGATAACTGCCCGCGAGATTCGTAAATATGGCACCGGGTCCGCAGACATTCGGATATGTGCACTCGTCCACGTCCTGACAGTCCTTGTAGGGATCGGCGCCCACAAAGCCCTCGGGACAGGCACAGGTGTAGTTCCCAGGCGTGTTGATGCACTGGGCGTTCGGGGGGCAGGCCTGCGGATTGCGGCACTCGTCCACATCCGTGCAGAGCACTTCACCGTCGCCCTCGTACCCATCGTTGCACTTGCACAGGAAGTGCGACGGCAGATTACAGCACTCGGCATTCTCCACGCATCGCGCTGCTATCGCGGGATCTTGGCATTCGTCAATGTCTGCAAGTAGAGGAAGATACGACGGAGGACCGTGATTAATCGAAGATGCTACACAACAAATGACAAGTAATTAAAATCCAAACGCAGTACATTATCTTCCACCTTCCAACTTATTTATTGCATGCCCCCCCACGCAGGCGGCACCATCCAAGAGACGTGTTCTGGCTCTGGCTCTAGCTCTGGCTTTGACTGCCGGTCTCTCTACGCATTTTGCCGCTTGAATGCGCGCTCTGCTCGCATTCACAGTCGCGGGGAATCGGACATGGAGTAGCAGCCATGTGGCAATGGATGCCATCGAGATTTGCATATTACGCATGACATTTCAGTGTCATTCGCGCGAGTGGAAGCCCCGACGACAATGTCAGAGCACAGGATGCACCAGTTGCATACATTTTCATAGCAATTGGATACGAATACGAATAAGAGTAGATATGGGTGTGTGGCCAATGTTAATGGGACAACCATAGATCATAGAAATTAGACAATTCAGTAGAAGAATATTTAAAACCATTGCAATTCGAATCTACAGAAACAGAGAGATTTGGATACCTCCAAGAAAATAGTAATCAATCTTCTCAAAAAGAATCGGTCTTAGTGCATCCCAAAGATTCATTCAGAATGTTCATAGAAATTGAGACTTAAGAACGCTTCAGAGACAGAGACAAATCTCATGATTACAATCTTAATCAACGACATTTCTTAGTGAGAATCGATTTCTACATTCACCAGAACTCTCAAATTGCATAAGCCTGAATCCAACCTAACCTTTCATGTCCGCTGTCTGATTCTCTGGCGGAAGGGGGAGGATGCGGAGAATGAGCTGTGGCTCAGAGCTTTCTGCTCCATTAGCGCGCAGCGCAGCGCATCGCATCGTATCGCATCGAATCGTATCGAGAATTGACTATTGCCAGAGAGAAAGACACGGAGCCAATGAAGCGGCACTACAGCTGGATTGAAACAGACCGACTACGAGCCGGCAGCCGTTCTCCGGGACCGCAATCTGGGCCCATTAATCATCCGAGGGCCTGCGACTAAGCAAAAGTTGTACATTTATAGCTAATATGACATAAATACAAAAGTTGGCAAAAGGCAAAGACAAGGACGAGCTCTGTAGATAGATAGCAGCGAATCGGCATATGTGTGTAGGGTTTGGGTCCCTTATAATTACAACAAGAACGAGTTGGTCGTTCAGTTATAATTACTAGTTTTTAGCTTATAAATTAAGAGGATCATCACTCCTCCTCTCTCCTCTCGGTCGGGGTACGGCCGAAACTGGTATTCGCTCTTAACAACCAACTGATATGACAGCATTCCATGTTTGTGGCAATTGCAAACTCTGATTACTCAATGTCATCATCCTCGTCGACTACCGAGTAGTCTCCACTGCCATCTGCCATCCCCATGCTGTCCCGGAGTCCAGAAGTTTTTCCAGAAGCAGGAAGCATTCTATGTTCTTCTAAGTTTCAATGTCAGTTTAATTACTTTATGCAATGCGACTGCAAGACGACAGCAGCAGGTCCCCGTGCCCAGACACGCGATTCCAGACACGGTCCGAGACAGAGCCAAAGACAGAGACAGAGTTGGGCCATTGACCAAAGGCTGTCTAATGAACTTAGTAGCATGCCCCGTTGCGCCTCTCCTGCCAGCTCTGATCTTTTTACAGCCTGTTGGTCTCAGACGCTGAGTGTAAATATTAGTTGTGCCTCCTCTGAGAATGATGTTCACAAATTTGCTGGCTCTCTAGTTTTGGGGCAGTAGGCGTGCCTAGATTCTGCCCAGATTTGACCGCTTTAAAAGCAATCAAATATATGCGTGACTCAATGTGATTAGACCCAACGATTGCCTGAAATGATGCTGACATAATTCCCGGAGCCATGCTTCTTCTTGGATTTCCTGTCCGTCTCTCTAAATGCTGACCATAATCGTCAGAACAAGATTTCTTTCAAGCGGCATTTTAAAGTGCGGTGATCTGGTCATTAAATATAGACACACACACACACCACAAAGGAAATGCTTAGATGATTATTTTATAAGTATTATATACAATTTTGTACCTATGTATACTCTCTATATACTCGCAGAGAGCGTTGAGTGTGCCTCAGTAGGGATTTCCTGCTTCAAAGAAAATCAGATATAATTGAATATACAATTAAAATAATTATTTAATTTTATATCCCGTTCAGATTTTGGCAAACGAAAGAACTTGCGATTCCATAGCTTGGATATAAAATTGATTTATCGATTTGTAATTGCACTATCTTTTTGGGACTTAAACGTACACTTGTATCCTTTTGCTTATGGAACATTTTTACAGCTAAAAAACTTGAGAGGAAGAATAGTTTGCCATTTATTGATAAATATCAATCGCAGCTATTGTTTAATGAATAAGATACGAAGTGGGGTATCAATAGTGCTCTATTCCCTTCGATGGGTGCCTTTGCACATTTTGCCTTCTCATAAAGCACTGCCCTAATTAAAACTAATTACCAATCAGACTATTGTAAAACTAAACCTGAAATGCAACAACTGATCTAATATGCACATTAGATAAAGCATGGTCTGGTCTCCAATGGTCCCGTCTCGTCTGTCTGGCGTCTATCCAATAAATTGTGTAATTGTGTACTTAATTAGCATCCAGTGCAATTTGAGTTATGACATTCGTGCCATGATTTCTCAGTGCATCCGAAAACCACATGAGGCTGACTATGGCTACATACAGATAAAATTTACGAGCGGACATGACTTTCATGCTCCACTGCCAGGCGATGATTAGCAGCTCGAATAAATCGTAATACGAATACAGAAAAAAGGCACACAAATCTACTCTGAACTTGAACTCGAGCAAAACGAGGTGGGGGGAAGAGACGAAGAAATCATAATAAAGAAAACCAAAATTAGTTAACAATTTGTTACGCAATTATGCGGCAAGTTTTTCCATAAACTAAGTATATGCTCTAAGATCAAGGTCGAGTGGCAAAGTGATGTCAGCCGGATCCGGACCCAAAAATAGAGCTAGAGCTCAGACTTAGAGGTAGAGCTGGAGATCCATGGGTGGCTTTTGCTCTTTGGTGGAGACGCCCCTCATTTGTGCGTAAATGTGGCAAATACACGCTCGTATAATTAGGCGTGTTAATGCCGACGCTTAAAGCCATTTTCATGCCTTTCATGCCGGCTTCGACACGAGAATTAATTGCTGCCATTTTGATATGCAAAAAGTGCAAAGTACCTATAAAAACATACAAAAAATAAGACAAAAAATAATAAGAAGCCACCGACAATCGACGACGCGTATGTTCTGAACCAAAAAAAAGATATAGTACTCGTATAGTATAAAAAAAACCAGGGCTTATCATCTGACGTTGATCTCCAACTGGTGCGTTGCCCAGCCCCAAAGACGACGACGGATTGAAGTCCGCCCTGGAGTTGAAGTCGAGGTTGGAGGCAATCGAGAGTCCCACATTGGAGGCAGTGCCAGTGCCAGTGCCGTTTGCGGCTTTTGAGGACAGGCGGCGGCATTAAGCGCCGACAATGCTACCGCCACAGACCTGGAGCTGGTGCTGGAGCTGTTGCTGGTGCTGCGATCGCGACTGTGACGGCGTTGCTACGTGGGCACAATCTATTTTATCCGTTTTAATGATCTGCCCCAGTTAGCGAAACGAAAGGGAGCAGCCGCCTGCCAGCCGGTGAACGTGGCGGCGGACAGCGCGAACGATCGTTCGGCTCGAGCGGACAAATCCAATAGCAAAAGGCCACAGCTGTAGAGGGTCTGAAGCAGTGGATACCCTTTCATACAGAGATTGGTTTATCAACCGATCCTTCCTATGGAAATTGTATGAAATACTAGTGGAAGTAAAGATAATCATAAATAAACAGCCAAGAGCTCTTGTTATTTCTAAGATCTATCTACTTTACGACCTTTGTATATAATACCCTCTTTGCGTCACAAACATCTGGCTAAAATCATACTATCCTCTCTTTCAGGGTGTTCTCGACTCTTTTTGAGCGTGTTTTTTCCTTGTTGTCTTTGGATATAAATTTTAGCACTCTATTCGAGAGGATCATTCCATTTATTGCACGCGGAGTGCTGTAGCTGTGGCTGTGGCTCGGGCTGGGGCTGGGGCTGCCGCTGTGGCTGCAAGACAAATGCATTAGAAGGATCGATAGGCCAGATATAGGTCACTATCTGTGGCGCGACTTTACGACTGTGTGCGTGCGTGCGGATTTATCATTTTTCAACAGTCATTGCATAACTGGACTTTTGCGATGCGTTAACGAAGCCAGCGCCGTGCCAGCGCCGCGCCGCGCCGTGCCATCGCCATTTCTGGATCGAACCCATTTGAGTTATGAACATGAAATAATGCAATCATCGGAATCATCATCGACATCATCGATGGCATCGACAGGACTGCCAGCGTTGACAGCCCCAATTGTAGGGGGCCATCGGGCAAGGACATCCAGCAGCACAGCAGCAGAGGAAGACGTACTGGTGCTGGTCCTGCAGCTTGGTCCTCCTTCAATCAATACGAAGCCAAGGACAGGCGAGAGTCCATCTGGGGCTGGGGCTGGGGCTGGGGCTGGTGCCGCTTCGATGGCCGCCAATTATGATTGGCTTCTTTGATTCCCTCGTTCGGTTCATTCAGGCGATTCTTTTTCAAAATTAAAGCTAATTATCCTTATGCAAATAGGCACCGAGCAGGAGGCGACCTTGAGTGGAATTTCCTCTTCTCGGAGGAGCAGCAGAATGGCAGGCTGCAGGACGACGATATGCTGCAAGGACAAGACTCTTAATGAAGCGACCAGATTTCTCTCTTCTGCAAGGGACGATTGTTGATTGGTAAATAATTAAGTAATCTGCAGATTAAGATATTTATAGTGCGCAATCTTCAAGGTTTTGGCCCTTAATTTTTCCAAGTTTTGCAGGAAAATAAAGGAACAATTTGGAAGGAAGTTTTCCTTGTGTGTTGAGTCAAGCTTTGGGAATTTAATTTGCCTCGACTATT